TATTGTGGCCAGCCTAAGGCACACCTGTGCAATAATCATGCTGTCTAATCAGCATCTTGATATGCCACACCTGTGAGGTGGATGGATTACCTCGGCAAAGGAGAAGTGCTCACTAACACAGATTTAGACAGATTTGTGAACAATATTTGAGAGAAATAGGCCTTTTGTGTACATAGAAAAAGTCTTAGATCTTTGAGTTCAGCTCATGAAAAATGGGGGCAAAAACAAAAGTGTTGCGTTTATAATTTTGTTCAGTGTATATAAAGTATAGGATTTTTTTATGTGGGCAAATTGAACAATAAACACAGCAATTTCTGCCAATGTTATGGCCAAGTTTATTTTTAGTTTTTTTTTCTGCTGTGTTCCGGGTCGATAATGCTCAGGCTCACAGCATTTATCACTGCAAGGTCCAGGTCTAAATACAATGCTGGTTGGCCTATTCTGGCCCTTAAACCCCTGATGTGACCATGAGTGCAGTTGCATAGCCTGTGATTCATTATCCTCACCAGAGCAGCTAGGCTCAAATGAAGCTGAAATTATACCTTACACGACCGGTCACTATTCTTAGAAAAACAAAAAGAGCCAGATTTTGAATGCCTTAGATGAGGTGACCTTTACAATGCTAGACTGGAGCTTACACTGTAAAACTGAGCTTTACGGTTCTGCTCTTGAATAATAAGATGCATGCTGTGCAGACTCCATCAGCCAGAAATCACAATTTTAAACTTTTGACAAAGTTATATGCCCATTCTTTCTCTATCGGTGTAACTTTAAACATAGTCCATTAGTAATTAAAATAATCCAGGCTGATTTTTAAGCTTGGCTCTCTCCATCTTGAACTCATTGATCCAAGCCCTGTAGACCCCATTTCAGTATTTTTATACCTCTTTTATCTGTCCATGTTTTTATCGTCATATCCCATTCAAATCTCTGTTGTCCCAAATACCAATAGAGTATATTTTAAATGCAGTATTCTTTAATTTAGTGTTGTACAACTGCAAGGTAGCAAGCCCAAAAATGAGTTGAGTCTATTCTGGCTGTGAACAGCAGGGAGAAACCAGTGAGATGTTTTTTTTTTTTTTTTTTTTTTTATAAATTAATATCTTTATATTTTAGGACGTATTAAATGTGTTAGTAAAGATATTTATGATTTAGTAATTAAAGATTTCTATTTTAAATAAATTTAACTTTGTGTTTCTCAAAGAATCCTGAGAAAAAGTATTGTGGTTTCCACAAAAATATTAAGCAGCACAACTGTTTTCAACATGAATAGTAATAAGAAATGTTTCTTGAGCACCAAGAAATATTAGATCAGCATATTAGAAAATTTTCTGAAGGATCACGTGACATTGAATTCTGGAATAATGACTGCTTTGCCATCACAGGAATAAATTACATTTAAATGAATATTAAAATATAAAGCAATTCTTTTAAATTGTACTAATATTTCACAATATTACTGTTTTTACTTTATTTTGGATCAAATAAATGCAGCCTTGTATTTAAAAAAATCTTACTGACCCCAAACATTTGAATGGTAGTGTATATTCAAAATAAACCTTGTTTCTAAGGGCCAAAAGGATGTCAGTTGCAAGAAATCTTGGCTAACATAATAAATGGACCTCAGGGGAAAAACGGCTAAAAAGTATAATTTACATTAGTCTCTTAGGAAAAAAATGTTTAATCAATACCTTTTGTTTTTTCTATCACTACTGCAAAGAAATCCATCTAAATGATGTAAAGACTCTTTTCTTAGAAACTTAATCGATGTTCCTGTCAAAGGCAGACTCATGCATGGTCATTACGAATAAAGAAAAGACAGAAATCACATATCTTCTCAGTGCTAAAGAGCCACTCTCATTCTGTCTGTCACAGCCATTACTTCATCATAGCTGACTCCACATCTTCATGTCTGCTGCAGCGAAGGCTGCTGTGACCATTGTAAGCCAGTTCTATCAGTCAGTTCACACCTTTGTATATTATCTGAAAATGGATTTGCATCTGTATGTCCAGTCTTCACTTCGAAGTTCAGGATTCTGCAGGATTGCGATGGAAAGGACTCAAGCGGTGAGTTGCCTGTTTGTGAGAGCACTGATGCAACGAATGTTCCTCGGGATGAAGATGGGGACCTGGATGTGGTCAGGATGCCCAGATGCTCCAGCTGTAACAGGGATGCAGTATGTCCCATTATCCTAAGTCAATCCGCAGCAACGCTGACTGACGAGGAGGAAGATTCTGAGGAGGAGGATGGTGCCCGTGACGTCATTAAGATTGGTGAGGGCTGCATTAGAGATGTATGTGAATTAATGGATTTGTTCTGTCACATTGTATGATTTTAAATGCGTTTTAAACAGAGCATACTATGGCGACACCTCTGGAGGATGTAGGGAAACAGGTGAGGACAGGGACGAAGGGTGATTATGCAGTACATCTACTCCTCTACTACATCTACATTGTTCAAAGTTGTCGTTTGTCATTGCAGATCTGGCGTGGTGCTTTCCTATTGGCCGATTTCATCCTGGCACAAGCAAGCATGTTCAAAGGCGCCACTGTCCTTGAGCTTGGAGCTGGAACAGGACTGACCATTTACATTTACATTTACATTTAGTCATTTAGCAGACGCTTTTATCCAAAGCGACTTACAATTGGGGGATATATAAAGCGATTCTTCTTAAGAGGCAAACAGACACAGGAAGTGGTTGTAATACCAAGTCTACCAGTGAGATAGGATTCAAACCAGCGAAGTGACCAGTATTGTCATGGCAATGGTGGCCAAGACGGTGTACTGCACAGGTGGTGATGTGATTGAGTTTTTATTATTATTATTATTAGATTGAGTCATTTAAAGTAAAATGTGCCTTTGAAACTTTTTAAAACAAGCAAAAATAGAGAATGATACATCAGAGATAGTCCATGGTGATGATCCCATTGCTGCTACATATTTTCATGTATAAAATTTGTGATAGACAGACAGACAGACAGACAGATAGATAGATAGATAGATAGATAGATAGATAGATTAATAAATAAACATTCAAAAGTTTGTATTAAATTAATCAGTTTTTTTAATTAAATTCATTTTATTCAGCAAGGGTACATTAAATTGATCAATTGTGACAGACTTTTATAATGTAACAAAATATTTCTATTTTAAGTAAATGCTGTTCTAATATAATGTAGTAATAATAATGATATATTATTAATGTTTCTTGTTACATTAAATCAGCATATTAGAATGAATTCTGAAGGATCATGTGACACTGCACTACTGAAAATCCAGCTTTGCCATCACATATTTATAATACATTTTAAAATATATTCAAATAGAAAATGGCTATTTTAAATTGTAATAATATTTCGCAGTATTACTGTTTTTATTGTATTTTTGATCAAATAAATGCAGCCTTGGTGGGCATAAGAGACTTTTGAACGGTAGTGTATTTATTGTGATATATTACAAAATTAATTGTTAGATGCATGCTATATATATAAATAACAAAATTAATTGCGTATTATTTATTTTTCCCCAAAATTACATAAATGTAAATGGTCAAAACATTAACCTGTAGAGGTATAAACAAATATTTTGTCAAATATTTTTGCTTGCATATCCAAAACATCTGAAAAATCCACCTGTGTCAAAGGATGTTTTAGTAGGCTTTTGGAAGTGGTGTGGATGCAGTGATTACTATGGGCTTTTTTCTTTGTCTTGATGATTGCTGCCATTTTAACCATTTGCTTTATTCTGTAAGTGTCTGTAATACAGCCAGGTTTCTTTGGAAGGAAGGTCTTTTATTAGAGCTCTGTCTTTCGGCATGACTGGATTGATGTTCTCTGACCAGTGGAAGCAGATAGAGCCGTCATTTTAAAGAGAGCGAAAAGAGCTTGGAAAGGCAGTAAAAGACAGCATTATCTTCAAAGCGCCTCTTCGCAGCGGTCCGAGGCCACAGAAAAAAATACACAGGCTTGTAGTAGATATTACACCCAGATGTTATTCACAGGAGACTTTTTTTTGTTGTGTGCAGTATTATTGTGTTATTTCATAAATTGATGTTTGTGTCTGTGTCGGTGTATGTTAGCATGGTATGGACAAAAGCTGTTTCTGGAGTGTTTGAGAGAGAGAAACATTGATTTGTAACTTCAGCGTCAAGTAGACTGGAAAGGCTTGTGGTTTGATTGCTTTGTGCGGATGGTGTCACAGTATTTATTAACACACTCCCTCCTGTGAAATTTGTGCTGGACCTTTTCTAAGACCTCTGATTAATAAATAAACATTCAAAAGTTTGTATTAAATTAATCAGTTTTTTTAATTAAATTCATTTTATTCAGCAAGGGTACATTAAATTGATCAATTGTGACAGACTTTTATAATGTAACAAAATATTTCTATTTTAAGTAAATGCTGTTCTAATATAATGTAGTAATAATAATGATATATTATTAATGTTTCTTGTTACATTAAATCAGCATATTAGAATGAATTCTGAAGGATCATGTGACACTGCACTACTGAAAATCCAGCTTTGCCATCACATATTTATAATACATTTTAAAATATATTCAAATAGAAAATGGCTATTTTAAATTGTAATAATATTTCGCAGTATTACTGTTTTTATTGTATTTTTGATCAAATAAATGCAGCCTTGGTGGGCATAAGAGACTTTTGAACGGTAGTGTATTTATTGTGATATATTACAAAATTAATTGTTAGATGCATGCTATATATATAAATAACAAAATTAATTGCGTATTATTTATTTTTCCCCAAAATTACATAAATGTAAATGGTCAAAACATTAACCTGTAGAGGTATAAACAAATATTTTGTCAAATATTTTTGCTTGCATATCCAAAACATCTGAAAAATCCACCTGTGTCAAAGGATGTTTTAGTAGGCTTTTGGAAGTGGTGTGGATGCAGTGATTACTATGGGCTTTTTTCTTTGTCTTGATGATTGCTGCCATTTTAACCATTTGCTTTATTCTGTAAGTGTCTGTAATACAGCCAGGTTTCTTTGGAAGGAAGGTCTTTTATTAGAGCTCTGTCTTTCGGCATGACTGGATTGATGTTCTCTGACCAGTGGAAGCAGATAGAGCCGTCATTTTAAAGAGAGCGAAAAGAGCTTGGAAAGGCAGTAAAAGACAGCATTATCTTCAAAGCGCCTCTTCGCAGCGGTCCGAGGCCACAGAAAAAAATACACAGGCTTGTAGTAGATATTACACCCAGATGTTATTCACAGGAGACTTTTTTTTGTTGTGTGCAGTATTATTGTGTTATTTCATAAATTGATGTTTGTGTCTGTGTCGGTGTATGTTAGCATGGTATGGACAAAAGCTGTTTCTGGAGTGTTTGAGAGAGAGAAACATTGATTTGTAACTTCAGCGTCAAGTAGACTGGAAAGGCTTGTGGTTTGATTGCTTTGTGCGGATGGTGTCACAGTATTTATTAACACACTCCCTCCTGTGAAATTTGTGCTGGACCTTTTCTAAGACCTCTTATTATTTCACTCTGCACCGTACAGAGAATTACAACAGATTATTGTGGCTTGGTACAGATCTAGAAGGAGCTTTAAGGGCACCACTAGATTATGATTTAAAACTAATTTGATAAATATTTATACAGTACATTTCAGAAAGAAATGTTCATGCAAATCAGGCGTGAACTGGATTAAAACATGCACCAAAATATGCACTGGATTTATATGTACCAATATAAAATTTCTATCCAATACCAGTTAGCTGATCGTTATTTCTATGTAATGCTATAATGTCTGTAAATACAACACTGAAAACTGAAATATTGTATGTGAATCCTATTTGAATTTGCATTATAACATTATAAATGTACGGTATGTAACATGGATACTCATTTTGAGATTTGTTAAAGATACTGTAAAGAGATCTACCTGTTTTTAATTATTATTTACATTAATACATTAATTAAGACATTAACGTCTAATGTTTTTTTTCCCCTAATTAAAAAGAAAGAAAATTAAACTTTTTAAATGAACTTTAAGTGACAATTAGATGGCAATCTACACGTAAAAATAGCGAAAAAGAGCATGCACAATTAAAATAGAATAAAATAAAATAGAAAAAACTCTAATATTGGGTCGTAACTGTTATGGGAACCTGTACTGTGCATCCCTATTGGGAATGGGATATATAAATTGAAAATTAAGTGTTGTACATAACTTGTTTACTCTTACAAGGTATTTTCAGAAAAGATGATAAGTAGAATTCCCAAAAGCAAGTCTTTGTAAAGTACGTAGGGTCTTATTGAAGTTTGGGACCCTGCCTTTTTTTTTTTTTTTAAATGGTGGGTCAGGTTGCCCATGTCTGCACATTATCAAACTTTATCAAACCTGATTTAGTCTGTTTAATTTTACGCCAATAATACTTGAACACATTAAAATGTCAATGTTATGTAACTCTTACATAATAAGACACTAATTTGTTTTCAGTCTCATTCAGTATAATAGTGTCATCTCCTTCTTTTTAGCAGTCTTTTAACCTACACAGGTATGTGAATTAGTCACAGTACATTACGAAACATTTCAGCTTTGCGATTGGCTTCAGAAGATAAAGAGCTTGTTTTGGATGAAGGTTTTTTTCATCGTTAGCTCACTAAATGAAAACATCTTTGTGGTTTTCAGATGTTGGTGACGACCTTCTGAGCATGTGTCACAGAAATGTGACTCTGAACAAGCAGCACTTTGAACCCCAAGGTAAACATTAACACCATATCAGGATGTTAAGCAGCACTCACTCATTAATGACAGCTTTTAGGCCCCTTTTCATGCTGATAATGTGTCATAAAGAAGGAGTAGCAGAGTGCCTATGTGTGTTCTCCTCCGTTTTGTGCCACCGTAATTGTGTATACAAGCCAGGTCTTCCGTGAAATACAGTTTGAATTGACCATAGCAGGACTGAAAAAAGCTTGTGAAATAATGGTTCCTATAAAAATATTTTTCCTCAGTTCATATCATAACTGATTTATGTACTTGATCAGGGCTACGTCCGAAGTGTTTGTCTGGATGTTCTCCGTAATATCTGGTGATAAGTTGAAACTAGACTTTCACATTTTCTAAACAAATCGAGGGTGGTGCTTGAGCTTGCAAAAGTCACCACTGAGGTGTTGCTAAGTGGTTACTGAGGCGTTCTAATGGCGCTTTTCCACTGCGTGGTACGACTCGGCCAGTGGTGTAGTAGTGCCTGGAGAAGTGGGTATACTCTTAATTTATGTCCCCATTTTTTTAAGCGGCCCAGCAAAGGATGAACGGCCTGTGTTATAAACAGTGACGTAAGACTAGTCTTGCATATTTAGTTCACCCCAAAATGGGCCAATAGTATTTGCACATTTTCACTTACTGTAACTTCTGTTACTTTACTTCACAGAGTAAGGATCATTATGAAATTAATATTAGCCACAAAAGAGGTGCAGATTTTGCAATAAATAATTAAAATGTGAAAATTACATAGACTGCAACAATTAACATGTTGTCAGAACCTCTAGTAGACAAGCTATTTTGTTAAGTTATCTGTAGGAGGATCATGATCTCTATTTGATACCAAAAAATTAAAAAAGAAATTGTGATCAATTTATCCAGAATTGTGCAGCCTACTCCTATGTTTGACTGACTGTTTCTCCCATGGCATACAGTGACGGGCAAATAGTAACCCCTACTTCCCCCATACCTTTTTACAATTTATCTATATAGCCTACTATATAGTGCAAAAAAAAAGTTTGTTTAGAGCATTTTTAATACAATTAAGCACTAGTCAAGCTGCAATATCAAACAGGACCACAAGGAAACGCCAAAAGATCACTAAACCTACTGCCTTGACCTGACTGTACAGGCTTCTATACGGATCCATTCAGAATCTAAAAAACACCTTCAGGCTTCAGCAGCGTCCATTATAAAACACTCGTGCTTTTAAGCCAAATACACGCTGAAAATTATAATTCTGGAGGTGACTCTAAGCCATCTCTAATTAAATCGGTCGGGTTTTCTCTGTAGCTGTTTTGAACTTAGGCTACTGTTTGAAGGCATTCGTTTACTGGATCCTTGAACTGAAAAGTTTACCGGTTTAAAAAAAAAATCTGATTGCAAAAACTTGCTTCTTTTCATCTTTAAGGTATTGTTTTCGTTATAATGTACAGATTCAAATTAGGAGTCAATAATTAAATATTATTTTATCACTCTGCGCGCCTCCCTGACATGCACTCAAGCCCAGACCGACTCCGCTTGCATTCACGTGATTTGTCGAGATGAGAGGCGGGCGCAATCATCAATCAAATTCAAAGGGAAGCTGGCGCATTCTGACCGCATCACAGTCTTTACTGGGTATGTTTAGGGAATATTTGCATTTATTCACATTCAAATCTTGGACGAGAACCTCCTTCCCCACTGTAACATATATGAAATAACCCCATAATGTAACATACATAAATCGCGCAGTAGCAGATCTATTCAGGTGGAGCTGGGGAAGGTGTAGGGTTTCTGAAGTGCACTGCAACTGCTACAGCAAGCACTAGCCAAGTATTTAAATGTTGAGCAGCTGCTCATTGGCTGCTGATACAAAAAGAACCAATCAGCTACTATAATGATAATGATGTGATTATATTTCATGACAGAACTTTGCATTTATTTAACTAAACCGAAACACTGACTGTACTGACAAGAAGTCTTGTTAGAGCTGCCTCACAGCAGAATTTGGATTTGATGAAATGTGCATGTTATTTTCCTGTTTATTACTGTGAAGCTGTTTTGAGACTGAATCTGTATTGTACAAAGCGCTATAAAAACCAAGGTGACTTGACTTGATTGAACTTTTATTAGTCTTATTAGCAGCCCTCAAATGTGTAATCATAAACTGTGTTGAAAAGCCATGAATTTCAGTTACGGTTGATGTTTTAAACTTTTTTTAATTATTTTAATAAATTAAATTTCCATTGAAATGCAATACATTAATAACAATGAAATAAAATTAGTGTATTAAAATATGTAAATATTTAATATTCAGGAACAGTGTCAAAAGAGGCAAAAAATATTAATCCAGCTAACTGTACATGTTCAATTTTTTATATTTTAATATATGTTTTTATGTGTGTGTGTGTGTTTAAACCTGCTGTGCACAAGTGACACTGGGCAACATACACTGCAAAGCTGGCCATTTAAATTGCGGAGTGTCTATTTACACTCCGCATAATACTTTTTGTAATGTATTTCATACAAATAGGAAATTTGATGTTATTTTTCTTTCCTTCATCTTGATTTCACTTCTATACATCCAACAGAGAGCGAAATAAGGGTGCGGCAGCTGGACTGGATGTCAGATGATTTCTGCACAGGTAAGAATTCAAGGAGAATCAGGTGTGAAATGCTAATTGGCGTGGTTTAGAGCCAGACCTGAGATCGTAACATGGCCAGTTCTACCTATTAGAGCTGCGCAGTCTCCTCACCTCCTGTTGAATCCATTTGTAGGAGGGAAGTAGAGTCTATCTGAGGGCAGTTGACACAGTATAATGCACAGGGCTTCCTCACACTCATAATACCAGTGATGAAGACTTGTGAAATAGGCCTTATGAAAGTCAACGTGTGGTTGTCATCTCATTTGCCCTCATATTTTAACTCTCCCCAGACGCTGATTTGGACTTCTGCTGGACTGACGCAGAAATAGCGGACTTACATGATAATACCACTTTTGTGATCGCGGCAGATGGTAAATTTGCAGAGAGTGCTTTCCATAATTATACAATGAATTCATTGCCTTAAAAACTGCCACAGACTGGAGAGACTATTAACATAATGAATGAATAGATGAAGGCGCTCACAGTGAGCATGATGAAAGCCTGAATTATATGAATTTGTTATTTGTTAAGGATGTTTTTGTACTTCCCCTTCAGTGTGTTATGATGACGATCTTACAGATGCTCTGTTCAGAACATTATACAGACTTGCGAGCAACATACGGCACCCAAGCACAACCTACATCTCCATAGAAAAGAGGTTAGAACGGCCTATTACCAGCCTCACCAAGACATTCAGATCACAGTCACATATCCTTGGAGCTTATTTTTCAGCATTCACGTTCATCATTGTAACTGTCGACAGTAATAAATTAAATTAAAATGTAAAATATTAGTACATAATAAGTACGTTTGTATATATTATGAAGAACATCAAATGCAATCAAATAGTAGCTAATATATGTTGCTTGAAAAAATATTTAATAAATTAAATAAAAATAAAATAATTAGTACATATATAATAAAATAAAATAATTAGTGTGCATTAGACAAAATAACCACTATAATGAAATATTAGCTTCTGTATATTTTGTTAGATTTTTTTTAAATAAAATTTTAATTAGTACGTAATAAAGTAAATTAAATAAGTTTGTATATGTGACCCTGAACCACAAAACCAGTCAATTTTGATTTTTAAATCTTCAAATTGAGATTTATACATCATCTGAAAGCTAAATAAATAAGCTTTCCATTGATATATGGTTTGTTAGGTTAGGACAATATTTGGTCGAGATACAACTGTTTGAAAATCTGGAATCTGAGGGTGCAAAAAAATCAGAATATTGAAAAAATCACCTTTAAAGTTGTCCAAATGAAGTTCTTAGCAATGCATATTACTAATCAAAAATTAAGTTTTAAAATATTTAGAGTAGGAAATTTACAAAATATATTCATGAAACATTACCTTTACTTAATGTCCTAATGATTTTAGGCATAAAAAAAATTTGATAATTTTGACCCACACAATGTATTGCTACAAATATATCCGTGCTAATTAAGACTGGTTTTGTGGTCTCATATATTAGGAAGAAAATCAAAAGCAATCAAATAGTAGCTATTATATATTTTGCTTGAAAAAAATAATAAATCAAATTTAAATACAATAATTAGTACATATATAATAAATAAAATAATTAGTGTACATTAGAAAAAACAACAATAATAAAATCTTAGCTACTGTATAATTTGTTGGAGTTGCTTTTTTAAATTGCATTTTAATTAGTACATAAAATAAAGTTTGTATATATTAGGAAAAAATGTCTATTGTAATATCAAATATCACCTATTATATATATATTTTTAATATATTTAAATTAAACAATGAGTGTGTATATATATATATATATAAATAATATGACAAGGATACGCTAGAAAAATACAGCCACTGTTATGAAAAGTTAGCTATTATATATTTTGTTTGATTTAAAATTATATTTAAATAAAATAAAAATAGTATATAAATAAAATAATTACAATAATTACAATGGGAAAACATTGACGTAATATAGTTAAATATTGGTTTTCTTGAATTTTAATGCATTTTTAAATAAATTACATTCCAATATATTCAAATAAAATAATTAGTAAATAAATAAAACAATTAGTATACATTAGGAAACACATCTGCTTTAATATAATGATATGCTGTTATATGCAGTTATTCTCAATTTGTCCATAGTCTTAAGAAGGATGCTTTTGGGGCTGACAGACCCATGCTAACCAAGAAAAACCTTGACCTTTTGTTCCAGCATGATGGTTTCTGTATTTCCGCAGATTAAACTTCACACTGAGACACATGGACGTGTCCTGTGAAGCATATGATCACTTCCGCCACTGCCTAGACCAGTTACAGCAGATGACAGCTGGAAAGATGAATTTCACGGTAGAGCCTGTGAAGAGCTCCTTTCCTCAGTTCTTTCAGTATGAAAGGGTGGAACAGCTGGTGAGGAGCACTTGTCTGTGTGTATTTACTCAGTAAATCATTCAATTGTTTCTTTGAATATGCATCATATACAATGGTAGTCAATTATTTAGTTTGCTTGTTCTGATCCCCTCGAGCACGCTCTTGTTACTGCCCTTAGGGGGAGCTGTTGATTCTTGAAGTAGATATTGTGTTCAGATTAACAGCGTTAATCTCAGTGTATTCTCTCTTCTGCAGGAATTTTGGAAGGTGACGGCAGAAAGACTTTAATATATAGAACCAAAGGTTTTTGTTTCCTTTTAACACCAGGATTTGTAATGTTTGCAGAATTAATCTTTGTAATTCCTATTTTACTTAAACGTGAAATTCAAAGTCCTTAGTTTGATCATTTGCTTAAAAGTTATTTATTAAAAACTTTATTAAAAAAGCAAAGGCTTTTCACTTTTCATGTGAAAATTGGTGCTGATGTATGTTTTACTGTGACCTGCTTGAATTTTTAGCGTTAGAAATGGTGGCAAGTTCTTCAAAGGATCATTGGGAGAGACTTTGGGTAAATACTGTTGACATGTTTTATGACAGTTTGAAAACAAACACAATGTATTGTTATTGGGGTAGTATATTATTACCTATGACAAAACTGTGCTTCAGCAAATATACATTTTAAGACACTGACGAGCATCCATAAGTAGATCTGTAGATCTTTGAAGATCTGTGTATTGCCATTAAATGAATTATGCTTCAGCTCACATGTTGGTGGATATATATTTTCTAAATTAATAAAACCGTTGAATAAAAATATGCAGCAACAGAGGTGAAGTGGCTGAATGCTATTGGTTTGTTTCCTTCTCTGAACACTAGAGTGTGCAAGAGTTGAGACAAGAACATGCTCACCTCATAAAGTAGATCTGATCAATATTTCTTGTTTTGAGCGATTGTTCATGAAGCTATTCAATCTATAAAGGAACCTGGCATGTGAACTTAGTTTGTGGTGTTTCAAAACACAGTTGGAAGGTAGAGGGCCTGAAAACAATAAAAATGTAATTCAATTAAAATGTAAAATAAACTTAAAATGTAGTTAAACTTGTTGCATACAACAGTCTGTAATAATGTTGTGTCCACTCTGTAAACATTTACAATTTGGGAAATATGAAGTGCTGACAAAACACTGGTGATGCTTCTTTCCTGGAATTGGTGTTTTTGAACCAGTCTTTTAAGTGAATGAATCATTCTTGTTCACTTTCATTCCCTCATACATGATTTCACCAAGTACATGTTCCTGGATCAACATCCTTGTTGATACTGGAACAACATTCCTATCAACCAATCAGAATTGAGGGATAACTTTTCGGGAAATATCTGTTTTAGGTTTAAGATCAGGCTTAGGTGCTTCTACACCCTTGTTAATCAGCTATCATTTCACACTGATTTTAGGACTAAATTATGGGTAAGGTTAGGTTTAGGAGTAGGGATTGGGTTAAGTCTATACTTTTGGACCGTTATGTTGATCCTTTTGAACAACAAAAGGTGTTGATCCAGGAACATGTTGTAGGCTACTTGGTGAAATCACAGCGACCGAACCCCTCATACTACCTACCTCTGAGACTGACAGTAACACGAACCAATAGCATTCGAGTAGGGGGTGTTAAGAAGCATTTAATTGGTTGTACATACTAAACGAACACGCCCAATTCACTTAACGAGTGCACGAATCACATGCAAACAAAATGAGGGAATGAATATGATTTGATATGATATGACTGAAATATATAAAATATATGGAAGAGGTGTTAGTGAGGCCAGCAGGGGGTGCTCACCCTGTGGTCTGTGTGGGTCCTAATGCCCCAGTATAGTGACGGGGACACTATACTGTCAACAAGCACCGTCCTTCGGATGAGACGTTAAACCGAGGTCCTGACTCTCTGGTCATTCAAAATCCCAGGATGTCTTTCGAAAAGAGTAGAGGTGTGACTTCGGCATCCTGGCCAAATTTGCCCATTGGCCTCTGATCATCATGGCCTCCTAACAATCCCCATATCTACTGATTGGCCTCATCACTCTGGCTCCTCTCCACCAATAAGCTGGTGTGTGGTGGGTGTTCTGGCGCACTATGGCTGCCGTCGCATCATCCAGGTGGATGCTACACACTGGTGGTGGATGAGGAGATACCCCTGACAATGTAAAGCGCGTTGAGTGTCTAGAAAAGTGCTATATAAAATGTAATGAATTATTATTATTATTATTATTAAAAGTCAAGCTTAAATTAAACTTATGAGAGTTTAAGAAAATAAATACTGCACATGAAAAAATACTATAGTAATTTATAGTAAATACTAGAGTTTTTGAACCATAGGCTACTATAGTAATGTGTATTATACTGTATATATCATAGTATTTACAACACGTTGTTAATGAATGCTACAGCATACTGTAGTATTAACTGTAATGAACTGATAAACTGTAGTATAATTTAGTTTTTACAGTAAACTGTATTGTATTGTTGTATAATATACCCTATAGTTGTAGAAAACCTAGTACAGTATTGGGTAAAGTAAATTGTTTATATTACTATAGTTGTTATACTGTATTACCACAGCAATTATAGAATTACCACAACAAATTAATTCCAGTACTTTACTACAGTATGGTTCAAAAACACTATAGTATTTACTATAAATTACTATAGTATTTTTTCAGGTAGAGAGTTGTAAGGCATTCCATGTTTAGCTGCATTTACAATTGTAGCCAAAGCTTTTTATGCAGCAGGTTTTTAAATTTGAAATTTCCAAAGGTGTGTGGAATAATTAGTGTGTGAAAAAAATATATAGGCTCCTATTGTTGTACTTTTATAGCTTGATAAGAGTCATGCTCTGTAACTGAAAACAGTGTTAAAAACTACTCGGCAATAATTCGTGCGATTCTCAAACGCAAGACTCGAAGTACATTTGCAGACATGCACATTTAAATCATTTCGGTCTGTTTTGTGAGGAATCGGTTGGACGAATGATTCAATAACTCGCTCATATCGCCACCTACTGGCATAAAGATGTAGAATAGAAAGGAACAGAGAATCTTTCTGCTGAACAGCGTTCTTGATTCAAAAGATTCGAGTCACGGAGATGAATCAAACCCCAGACTATTAGACTGGAGCTTCGATTACATTAAGGCAAATATGAAGTGCTGACTGCACACAGCTGTGCTCGGTGCAAGGCATCTGACATTTCCGGGAGCTGCAAGTCTCTCTCTATTGGCTGGAGTCGGCGGATCCCCCAGCAAATCCCTCCACTCGCGAAAAAGGCCAGACTTCAAATGATCTTTTAACGTCTGTCTGTGTTCCTCGCTCCTGCGCCCATCTCTTTCTTTTTCGTCCTTCCGCCAAGAACCTACTAGATTTCACCTCCTATACAGCACAAAGGTGAGTCTTAAAATGTCTTTAAGTATCATTACAGCAGCAGCGCTCCCACCGCAAAGCATAAGCATGCGGTTTGTTTTAGTAATTCATAATCAGAGGCATCGCTGCAGGAACGCTTTGGTGAGCATTAATGCAATAGCTAGCGTGTTTCGTAATGGACGCGTTTCTTATGAAACATTGCAGCGATGTGATACCGTAGAACTGGCCTGCTTCAGCGATTCGATTTCCTCCTCGAGTCTCTCGCGTCCAGAACCGTTTGACAGGTCCGATCCAGTCGGAACCGGATACTGTTGCGTCTCCCTTCCACCAGCTGCTTTGTGTGCATCAAGTTTTTCGTGTGAGGTTTCCTCTGCTCTGAGACTGAGACTGAGCCACCTGTCATTTAAATGCATCGTTTATCCCATAATGGATTGAAGCTTTGTTTTGTTTTGTGTTTTTTTTTAATACATAACTGCATTTTTGCCCTGTTTTGCAATATTAAAAAGATAAATTTTATGAAGGTAGAATGACGTCAAAAAGATTTGCATACGCAGGGTAAGAGTTGTGGAAGTGTACATAAGACTGCAAATCTTTTTGACGTCATTCTACCTTCATAACATTTCCTCTAGAAACAAAATTGCAAAAGATACTAAGCCTTGTTTTCAGTTATTTTTCTCTGTTTTTTTTGTCTTAAGCATAAACCTCATAAAATGCTGTTAGATTTATACTTAAAAATCCAAAATTAAAAAAAAAAACATGAAAGGGGTTAAGACTGAATAAATATGATTTTTTTTTTTTTACAGTGATGACCTATAGTTGAACCATAATGGATTAATATATAGAACTGTTTGTTTGTCATTTTGTTTACTACACTACACTACACACACTTACACACAAATACCGTGTTTCTGGCAGAAAACATGGTTACCGAAGTCAGTTTATGGGTGTGCTTGCTGTAGATTGTACACCCACTTTAAAACTTAAAGATATAGAGCATAGATATTTGTACATTTTGCTACGGATGTGTTGGTTTCTGACACTAGTGATGATTATTTATACATCAGTTCAATATTTACCCCTCAGTCTGTATCGTCTACATACATACTGAACTCTCTATGACTTAAAAGCCTGTTTCTTTGAAACTCAAATGGCCAATTTAAATTCAGTAAGATTATTTAAAGCTTAAGTATTGTTTGACAACAAACCCAATTTTTCTTCATCAAATATGTTTACAGTTGATACAGCAGGGTGTACATTACTGTTGAATTTCTCCTTTTGAGTTGTGTTTCCTAAACATCCATGTGAAATGTTGTTTACATGTTCAGCTGCGCTTGATTTAAATATAATTTTAGACTTGTTTGCTCTCTCTCCTGCAATATTATCCTTGAATTGCACACTGCATTCCGCTAAAGGACAATTTATCCTGTGAAATTAAAATAAAATAAAATTTAAAATATAAAATTGGTAGCTGTGGTTGGCAGAACATGGTGACAGTATTTCTGGTATTACAGGATGGCATGGCATTTACCAGTCTACCTAAAGTAACAAAATCGATTTTTTTATTTACCTTAAATAAAATATCTGATAACAAAAATAAGTAACAGAATAGTTTATATAAACTTTAATCATATGTGTTGTGTTGTGTCATGTAAGGACTTCTGTGACTGTTTACTGTCTTTACCATAAATTATAGTTATTACTCACCAAAAACCATTTATTTAGACTAAAATTAAATATAATGCAATGTTTGCCATTTACAGTTTCCACCATATCAATTATCAAAAATTGTAATTACAAAAATTTGTTTTAACAGTATAGTTTTACAGCGCAATGCTTGACAGACAAATCACCTGCTTATCAATTGAATTGTGGAGCAGGTTTGCAGGAATGCTTAATGTTTTTAGAAGGCACATTTAGGATGGCAATGTACATGTAAAGACGGTGAATAGTGTTTATTACTTGTGACACAGTTTGGCTGTTATTCATAGCAACCTCCCATCTGATGGTGAGATTCACATATCTTTGTCCAATTTTTAAGATGCATTTGTAATTAACCCTGCAGTACTGTCTGTCATGCTATATTTAAAATGAATCAGCCGTGCATTTCTTATTATTGAGGTATTGATAGGCATGCATAAAACATGGCCAATTGCTTTTTAACTAGGATTTATCCTTTTAATAGCACCGCAGTTTTCCCTACTGAGGTTGATCTGTCATCCAGACAAGAAAGACAGAGTAGTACAACTGTTTTCCTGAGCTGGTTCCCTTGGCAACTGTCTTGCAGTATTTAGCCGTTTGGAGAGGTTTTACCTTTTCAATCCCTCCGATTGTCCCCTTTTTCATGTACCGTTGCTGCAAAGACTGTTTAAAGACCCTTAATGACTATTTCTACTACATACCTCTCAGATTTTGACTGACTCTTTATATTAGTCAAATTTTTATTGCACTTTCAGTGTAGAGTTCCTGATTCATCCTGATCCTTATGTTTTTAATGAGATAGATAGGGAAAAGCATGAGTGGTTTTAATCCACTTGTATTCATATGAGAAAATGTAGCACAGAATGACTTATGCATGACCTAATAGGCTGTTTAAATCATGCAGAGGGGAATTGGTGTAATGAAGTTTACCAATAGGCTTTAACGGGTAAACGTTAGAGATGAGCATTATGCCCAATGAACCGTGCTCATATCCTCCACTGACAGCTCAGTGTCTTTAGCCAGCTCAACGTTATCAATAGCCAACGATCAAAGTTCATTTGGTGCTAAATATCTGATCGGGATTATGATGATGATTTCTCAAAGCAAGCAATCTTTTTTTTTTAAATTAGGATCAGTTAAAGATTAGTCAATCACGTTTTGTCATCTCTGAAGTTTGAAAATGAGCTGTATTGAGGATGTAGACGCTTTCATGTCTTGTTGCTTACTGCTACTGATGTTATCTGGCTCCTTCAGCGAGGGGAGTCGCTCACACGGCTGTGTTACGTAACACCAGAAAATTAGCATTTAAAAAATGGCTTCGCGTTTGGTGCTGTTGCTCATTGCTCTCTTGGGCCGCTGGCTTTAGTTCACACTCTGAGCTGAGAGGAAGAGGAGCAGGGGGATTGGTGGTGGCTTGGAGTTGTGTAATCCAGCTATTGTTGGCTTTGAAATGGTCCCCCAGCACAGTGACCATACGGAGACCCCTGATGAATATTGATTAGCTGCGCTGGCGTTGAGAGAGAATGAAATGTGATGTGAGCAAAGAGTGTCGGGAGGAGCAGGGGGATTGGTGGTGGCTCGGAGTTGTGTAATCCAGCTATTGTTGGCTTTGAAATGGTCCCCCAGCACAGTGACCACACGGAGACCCCTGATGAATATTGATTAGCTGCGCTGGCGTTGAGAGAGAATGAAATGTGATGTGAGCAAAGAGTGTCGGTTTGATTTTTATACTGAAAATAAGCAGATAAATGAAAGCTCATGTAATGTTTTTAAAGGACCTTGAAGGTGGTGGTGGATTTCCAGTGTTTTTATTGCCTGTACAGTCCTCTCTCATATCATATCAGGGATCAATAAAAATTATTTTTGTTTCTTTGAGGTTGTTTGGTCAGCCAGTTGTTCAAATTTATCTTTTATTATTTAAACGTTTATTACTTTCATTTAAACAGCTTTATTTGCTTTTGATTTGCAATAATTGCTAGACATTACTGGAAATAGGCTACAGCTATAATGTATATGATGTTCAATAACCGATTCATAAAAATTCATAAACACACTCTTAAGCTGGAAAACAATGTATGATCAACAATGTTTATGACTTTCATCTTCTCACAAACCATTTTTCAACAAATTTCAACAAATCCACATCTGTGTTGGCCAGCTTGACGGCATTATGTCACAGAAAAAAGAAAAAAAAGATTTTATACATTTTCATAAAAACACAGGATTTTTTTTATTTATTTAAAAAAATTAAGTAACAGTTTGAATTAAATTGCTCAAAAGCAAGTGTAAAGATATTTACAATGTTACATTATTTCTGCTTCAAAGACATGCTGTTCTTGAAAAATGTATTGTGCTGCTTATTGTGCTTAATATATTGGTGGCAATCACAACTGTTTTCAACTTTGATCATAGTTATTAGAATAATAGAAATGTTACTTGAACATCAAATCATCATATCAGAATGTTTTCTGAAGGATCATGTGACACAGAAGACTGCTAAAAAATTCAGCTTTGCATCACAGGAAAAAATTACATTTTTTAAATATATTCAAAGAGAAAATGTCTAGGCCTATTTTGCAATATTACCGTTTTTACTCTGTTTTTGAACAAATAATTACAGCCTTGGTGAGCATAAGAGACTTCTTTTAAAAAGTTGTAAAAATTTACCGACCCCAAACTTTTGAATGGTATCGTTTATGATCAGTGATAGGGAAAGTGACAGCAACTCCTTATGGCTGATCCCTGATTATTAAATAGAATTTTTGAGACCCCTAGGTTTCACTGACAGTGTCCAGACTGCGTTAAACTTGGGCATGAAGCTGACCCACGATACTTTGACAATAAATCATTTCAAAGATGTATCCACACTCTTTTCCCATCAGCATTCACTGTCAGTATCAGTCAATGAAATAGAATTAGTCCCTATCACTCAAGAAGGGAAAATCAGCTCCATCAGTCAAGTTGTCGCCCCCCGGCTGTTTAACCCATTTTGCTTGCTGGATCCTCTCAGGCGCATGACAACAGGCTTGTGTAACACATATTTTCAGAACCAGTTCTATCCGGTCGATGAGCCGTCTGGTTGGGGTGCTTCTGAGAGACGGAGTGTCTGGATTTTTCTTGCTTCTGCCGCTTTGACTGCGTAAGCGTCCTCAGATCTGGAGCACATGAGAGATGCACTTTCTGCTTCTCCTCTCTTGCACATGAATAAAGATGCCGTGGATCCGCTCTGATGTCCAGCGGGCGGCCAATTCTTCCCTCTGAATTTATTCCTCTGGACAAGCAAACACATAAGACTAGCTTCCTTTCAGTAGAGCAGGAAGACTGATTCTCAGCTTTCCAGTGTCCAGGCTGTGACAGAAACATACGCCATGACATTTAAACTAAGGAGGAACAATACTGGTAAAAAACAAAACAAGGTGTTTAATTCAGCCAAGAACATTTTGTGCATAATAATTGCATGCCGTCAGCATGCTGCTCCTTTCCTAAGCGTATGTTCACTCATTATGAGAGCTGAAGATATGTTGGGATTCCCTCAGGCATTGGCTTTTCCCTTAGGCAGGACTATTCGTCCCAATTAATCTTAGCGCTAAAGTGTGACCGAGTGAGCTCGGGTGAGCTTCCCTGAACCCTGTGCCTGTTGGGAAGGTTTAACGGTACTTGAAAGTCACAGCATTAGTCACTTGTCTGCTGCCCCCAGCCTTGTCCTCACAAGACTCCGATGGTTCCACAGTGCAAAAAGATCATCTGAGGGCCAGTGAGCGTCTAAGCCATGTTGTGATTAACACCAATTAACCGTGCTTTAATTAAGAGGCGTGATGGCCGACTGTCAAGACCACTGGAGTAGGAGAGGATTGATGGGCATGGCTGAACCTGCTGCTCAGAGAAAAGAGGAACTGTCTGTGGTACTGATCCCAGGACTGTCACTTTGCAGACTGTAAGATTTGCTCCCATCTGGTTGTTAATCAGTTTCTGATTAAATTTTTTTAGCACAAAGGCGTAAATGGTGATGTTAAAATACTTCCTTCTGTCCCAAATGAACATGCAGAGACAGCTATTTGTAGAGACAAGCTGTTTGTAGGTTGATTTCACTGAATATTTTGAACACAGTGACACTGTGTATACTATATATGTATATATGAAGAGCTTGGTTCCAAAACGCGATAAATGCCATAAAAAATTGAGTTTCCGCCAAAATCGGTATTGTATCTGGTCGGTATTGAAAAGTCAATTTTAAATTTTACGCAAAATGCGATATCCGCCGAGTTATTCTGTTATGTTTTCTCCCTTTTTCGCCATAAAAAATGGAGTTTCCGCCAAAATCGGTATTGTATCTGGTCGGTATTGAAAAGTCAATTTTAAATTTTACGCAAAATGCGATATCCGCCGAGTTATTCTGTTATGTTTTCTCCCTTTTTTTTCAAACCGCGACAAACTCCAGTCTCCCTTTTCTGCAGAATGCGATATATCCGCTCAACCAATCACAGCGCACCATTCCACGCACTGTAAACAGTAACAACCAATCACAGCGCACTATTCCACGCACTCTTATCAACCTACAAACAGCTTGTCTCTACAAATAGCTGTACAACTAGCTTTGAATACACCCGGCATCCTAGTTTTCCTCATCTATTTTGTACTTTGTGATCAACAAACAAACAAAAAAATTAGGGCTGCACGATAAATCGCATGTGATTATGCGCATCTCGTCAGTAAAGCAGGTTCTGTGAACAGTAAATCTCCATCACGTGCTTTCAGATGGAGCGGCATTTAATACACAGAGCCGTAGATCACTGCAATATCGCGTTCATAATCGCAGATGAGTCGCATTCGATTATGAAACACCTGTGCAATAATCATGCTGTCTAATCAGCATCTTGATATGCCACACCTGTGAGGTCGATGGATTGTCTCGGCAAAGAAGAAGTGCTCACTAACACAGATTTAGACTGTGATTAGAGAAATAGGCCTTTTGTGTACACAGAAAAAGTCTTAGACCTTTGAGTTCAGCTCATGAAAAATGGAGGCAAAAAAAAAGTGTTGCATTTATAATTTGGTTCAGTGTAAATATATATATAGATACACACACATACATACGCATATATATATATATATATATATATATATATACATATACACACTGCCGTTCAAAAGTTTGGGATCAGTAAGACTTGTAATGTTTTTTAAAGAAGTCTCTTATGCTCATCAAGGCTGCATTTATTTGAACAAAATTACAGAAAAATGTTATTACAATATAAAATAATGGCTTCTATTTTAATATACTTTAAAACATAATTTTTTTTCTGTGATGCAAAGCTGAAAAAAAAAATAACAACATAAAAGTGAGTAAAATGTGTTGGTTTTGTATATGTTGTTTTTGCTATTGTAACTTTAAGACCTCTGTGTGTCTTAACACTGCAATTGGCTAAGTTCTGGCAAGATGAGTTACTTAATACTAATGATATGTATATGTGGGTGGTGATATGTTTATGCGATCATGGTTCTGATATCACAACCACAAAGGTGTCTGAAATACTGTTTTTGTAGTTTAAGAAATCCAGAAGTATATAGAGTAGTATAATTAAATAGTATGTTAAACTTTTGTATTTCCAAAGATCAACGGAATTCCTTTAATGTCACATACAATTGTACATATCATGACCTGGAGATTGTATTATCTACCAGAACGTCTTTGATTGTGACATTTTCGTAACCCATATCGGCTTCCCACTCCCTGGAACTCCCTTTATCTTATCTCTGTCTTTGTCTTTCCTCAGGTGAAGTGAAAGGCAGGTGCTGTGTGCTGTCTCTCTCTCTCTCTCTCTCTCACTCTTCATCTCTGTCTCGGTGAGTGCTACACATGGCTTCCTCACTCCTGACCCGCCAGCTGGCCATCTCCCTTCAGCAAAACCTGCGACTCGCCGCTCCAGGTAAAAATACCACGGAGAGATGGAGGACTAAGATACACTCCGGTCTTAAAAGCTGGTTTAACTTCCCGGTCAGATAGAGGACAGAGACTGTAATGTTCTCAACCTACCAGTGACCCTCAAAAAGAGCTGGAGTTGTCACAGAGACTTTATCGAAGTGATGCAACTTCACACTCAGCTTAGGAAGTGAGACGCTTCCTTTAAAATGATAATGATGTGCGGTTATGGAACCGAATGTTGAGAGGGACGCAGTTCAAAGTTTCCTAACCATGTAAATGAGTTACTGGGATCTGGTTTTGTCCAGCTTTGGCTAGTGAATTCTGCATTCGTAGAAAAGTCTGTGCATGTCTCGTCCTTCAGTGGCTGGTCACGCTGATTCAATCCTGCCAGCGTTCTTCATTAATCAGTAGCTTAGTAGTGAGACGTCCCATTCACTTCTGTAAACTTGTGTATCCCCTCAAGGGGTTACTACTGTTCAAATATGGCTATAAAAGACTGGCTGTTTAGATGTATTCGTTGACCACTGTTCAAATATACTGCAAAAGTACAAAAGGTCTTACAGAGTTCAGTTGGTTAATTACTTTGAGATGCATAAATGCATGACTAGGCATTTTTAGGAAGTTACTTTCACTGAAACTGACTCAACCTTTCATAATTTATAATTTCAATTTTGCATTAGGTTCCAGATATGTCAGCAAAACTGCCACAAAGACAGTTTCAGAGTTTGAATATGACGCCCCATCCATGAAAACTGCTGTGCCAGGTCCAAAGTCCCAGGTACACTCAGCATTTTGACACTTTTGCCATGAGATTTGTCACTTGATTGCAGTGTGATATGACTCTGTAGGAAATAAAAAAATTTAATTTGGTATTTTACTATAGGCTCCTTGTATAAAAATCTAAAGTTTGGACACCCATGCTACTTATGACTTTTTTCCCATTTTTCAAAATAAATAAATAAGAATGAACACAAATGGAAGAAAATGTAATTATGTTGTGAGTAATCACACTTTGCTTTGATAACACCCTTTTTACACACACACATTTTCACAACCTCATTCATGAGGTGCATCCTGATCAAATTTCCAAACAGTACTGAAGGAGTTCCCATGTTTGCCTGACACTTGTTGGCCCTTTCCCTTCTCTATCCAGTACAAAACAAGAAAGAAAGAAAAAAATTGAATTTTACAAATTTTAAGTCAAGTCAAGTCTCCATTATTTATATAGCACTTTTTACATTGCAGGTTGTGTCAAAGCAGATTTACAGTATTAAACAGGGAAATAGTGTGTCGCCTCTGGCCAGACGAAACCAGCAGTTTATTTCTTAAAGCTTAAGCACTTAAGCATAAGCATATTTCAGATCATAAGATAAATAATTTGTGTCCAATCTTTGTGTGTTTGAAGCATCTTTCAATAATGCAGCAGAACAGAATGACTAATAGGTTAATTTCTCTCATTCAACAGGAGCTGCTGAGACAACTCGGAGAGATTCAGGTGAGATAGACATGGAAACGAACTTTGGTGTTTGCTCAGTCAGTACACACACAAATGTACCTTTACAAACTTCTGTTATGCAATTAGATTGAGGTCTTACAGATTCTGTACATGCAGTTTGTTACATTGCCAGTGCCGATCAGGTGCAGTTCTCTTAATGATTTAAGTATAATGAGTCACTTTTTCAGACAGTACCATACAAAACAAACAACTATATGAGAAACATTAACAGCAGTAAAGCTAAAGTGTGACAGCCCTCTGATGTGACGTCCAGCCATATTTCAGCCTGCCTGGATGTCTTCTGCTTATTGAGTGATGAATGTATTTCGGTAATTTATCTGAGAGCCGTCACAGTCTTCTTCTGACCGCTTTGCTGTGGATGAGCACATAGATGTGAGCTGACAGGCATCGATGAAGCTAATATCACAGATTCGCTTCGCCGCGGCTCCTGTGCGTGTCTGCTGGCCGCTGTCTGTCTCCCCTGCATGAGAGCAGACATAAGAAGAGTCATAATCTATTCATCAGATGGGCTAAAAATAGATGCTGCATCAGGTTCGAAGCCACACAGGGGGAAAAGGCACTTTCATTAGATAAAGCACCGCTGCTCACAATTTTGCGGTAATAAGTCACAGTGCGAATCATGATATCTTCTGCTTTTTTCAGTTGTACTGTGCATGTGAGGAATAGTTAAAGGAATAGTTCACGCAAAAATTAAAATTTGCTGAAAATGTACTTAGGTCATTCAAGATGCCAATGAGTTTATTTATTCATCAGAACAGATTTGTAGAAATTTATCATTACATCACTTGCTCACCAATGGATCCTCTGCAGTGAATGGGTGCCGTCAGAAACAAGAGTCCAAACAGCTGATAAAAGCATCACAATAATCCACAACACTCCTGTGCATCAGTTAACATCTTGTGAAGCTGCGTGTTTGTGAGAAACATATCTATAAAGATGTTTTAACTTTAAATAGTTGCTTCCGGACAAAGTACGAGTCCTCTATTCATAATATTGTCCAGTTAAAAAAATCATCCCATCTGAATCAGCAGAGAAATATGCACAGATTAAGCACCGTTTATAATTGATTACGGTCTAAAATAGTTATAAATAAATACATTGGTGGATTTTGGTGTGAAAGAACAACAGTTGATGGGCTTTTTTTTTACTGAAGGAAACATTAATATGGATTCTGGACTGGTATTTTGGCCCGAAGCGGCATTTTAAAGTTAAAATGCTTTAATGATGGATTTGTTTCTCACAAACACAGTTTTTCACTTCTCAAGAAGTTAATTGGTGAACTGGAGTTATGTGGATTACTTGTGGATTTTTGTAATGTTTTTATCAGCAACTGATGTAATGCTGATGTAAATTTGATGTAAAACTGATGTAAATTTTCCAATTTTCTACATCTTGGATGCCCTGAGGGTGAGAAAGGTTTCCCAATTTTTCTTTTTTTGGTGGACTATTCCTTTAAAGAGAATATATTTTACATTTTTGTGGGATTAAGTTTTGTTTTTCTGATGTTCAGCCCCTTCAGCCATTCACTGACTTGGAGCTGATGCTCTGCCAAAAACATAAATAAATAGTAATAACACTATCAGGTACGCAGATGGAGCACAAATCACCTTGATAGCAACATTCAGCTCTTGCTTGTCTCCTGGTCTGCAGAATGTTGGAGCGATTCATTTCTTCTGCAACTATGAGGAGAGCAGGGGAAACTACCTGGTGGACGTGGACGGCAACCGAATGCTGGACGTGTACACACAAATCTCCTCCATCCCCATCGGTGAGCTCAGCCAATAAGCAGATCCCTTTTACAACACACTGACACATCTAAAACAGGAAAGCAGACATCTTTAAATTAATGTCGTTGTGAGTTAGTACTGGCTTTTATTTAGTGTCAGGGGTATTTTGTGCCACTTGAAGGGATAGTTTACCCAGATAAACCCGTTAATTCACCCTCATGTTGTTCCAAACATGTATGATTAGACTTTTTTTATGTGTAATAAAATTTTTTATATTTCTGTATAGCTAAATGAAAATTGGAAGTGTTGCCTTTGCGACTAAGTGAAATAAATTATTACATGAAAAATGGCAACTTTTTTGCAGCTTTATTTTAGTTAATAAAAATGTTTTTTTATATTTTTAGTTAAAGGGGTCCTATTATGCTTTTTCACTTTTTCAACTTTAGTTAGTCTGTAATGTTGCTGTTTGAGCATAAAAAAGGCAAGGCAAGGCAAGCCAAGTTTATTTATATAGCACATTTCATACACAATGGTAATTCAAAGTGCTTTACATAAAAGAAAAGAAAAACAATAATCACAACAATAAAACAAGGAATTTAAAAACTTTGAAAATTATTTAAAAATTGATTTAAGAGGTTTAAAATGAATTTAAGAAAATGATTATACATAAAATATAGTGCAATCAGTTCGGACATTGCACAGTGCTCATTCAATAAATGCACAGCTAAACAGATGAGTTTTGAGTCATCAAGACTTTGTAAAAGAGCATAATAGGACCCCTTTAAGTATTATGTATATATATACAGTATAGTATAAATATGTTCAGTAAATGTCAGCAGTGTCCTGTGGCTTTGCATGAAGGCACGTTTGTTGTGGATGATTAAAAGTGAGTGACCGGATCTGAATAGTTGTGAGGACTGCCGGATTACGGATACAACAAACAGACCTGAGAGACAGAAAGAGCGCCTTTCCTCTGTCTGCATGCTATTGGTTTGGTCCGTTAGCTTACTTGCATTTAATCAGCCTCAACAAATTGAGTGAAGCTACTGTCTCTCGCTCTCAGAAATGCCTTCAGGTGGTGACTCAGATTTAATGAGCTTTGATTTCCCTCACACTTGCTGCTCCGGTATCATTTCGACGGAAGTGCATTATGGGATATTTTAGTTACATTAGTGTACAACCCCCAGTCACCCGCAGCATTCACAATGACAGACACATGCATACAGAAGGGATGTAACATTTTCTTCTTGACCACTGAAGCAGCAAGAGAAATTAGTTTGTTTCCTTCATGCATAACGTCAACATAACTGCAATCTACCTGCGCTATTACTTAATGTTTTACTTAAAATTTAATATCTAGAGCTCTCTGTGATCCTGGATCAGCCACTGAACCGATTTAGTCGTCAGTCTGCAAAACAGATAACTCTGCCACTTTTGATATCTGACAAAAATGAGAATATTTTCAGATAACTGAAAAGTGGGTGGAGTGCTAAGCTAGTCTGTACTTGCTTGTCAAGAGTTCATGTGAATGTTTTTCCTTTTCTGTAGTACATTTTGTACTCTGTGTAGGTATAGGACATTAAAGGGTTAGTTCACCCAAAAATGAAAATTAGCCCATAAATTACTCACCCTCAAGTCATCCTAGGTGTCTTCTTTCAGACGAATCCAGTCGGAGTTATATTAAAAATTGTCTTTGATCTTTCAAGCTGTTTAATGCCACTCAGCGGGTGTTGCATGCATCAGTCCAAAAGAAGTGAAATAAAAAGCGCCCATCCATTAAGAAAAAAGTGTCTCACACGGCTCCGGGGGGTGAACAAAGGCCTTCTGTAGCGAATCGATGCGTTTTTGTTAGAAAAATATCCATATTCAAAACGTAATAATCACTTTAATGTAGCTTGCGCCAACAGTTGTACACGGAAGCAGCTCCGGGGGAATGACGTATGAGGTCAGCGTTGCGCATCTGAGTCTCGTGAAAACCAACGTTTGTTAACGGGATCAAAGGAAGCAAAGTTTCCTTACTTTAGCAAAGGAAAACCAGTCTCCTCTTGGCTTATATCGAAATCCTCCGACATTCTTCTTTACAAATCCTCGTTTTGTACTTCTAATTAGTGATCATTGTTTTGTTTTGAAAACAAAACCGCTGCGCTCCCGCGTTCGTCACTTCTGAACGGCGCATGCGCAAAGCTGACCTCATACGTCATCCACCCCAGAACTGCTTCCGTTTACAACAGTGAGCGCAAGCTACATTAAAGTGATTATTACGTTTTGAATATGGATATTTTTCTTACAAAAACGCATCGATTCGCTACAGAAGGCCATTGTTCACCCCCGGAGCCGTGTGAGATACTTTTTTTTTTTAATGGATGGGCGCTTTTTATTTCACTTCTTTTGGACTGATGCATGCAACACCCGCTGAGTGGCATTAAACAGCTTGAAAGATCAAAGACAATTTTTAATATAACTCCGACTGGATTCGTCTGAAAGAAGAAAGTCATATACACCTAGGATGACTTGAGGGTGAGTAATTTATGGGCTAATTTTCATTTTTGGGTGAACTAACCTTTAATATGCATGTAGCATATGTATAATTAAAGGAAGTATTTCTATGAAAAGATATAAAAGATTTTCAGAAATGTGCTCAGGCATTTAAACTCTTTTTTTAGATTATTACTTGATAGTTTACTCTATGGCAATAAAATCATAAAGATGGATCTCAACATGATGTAAATAAGAAAACAAAAAAGATAAAGTTCACCATTTTGATATTTTTGTAACCTTTTTAAGTTTTGATAATAGAAATTATGAATCCTTTAAAATGTATATAACTTGATCAATTTATATGACTTTAGTTTTTTAAAATGAATAGACTAATACCACAAAACATAATTATGGTAATAGCTTGGTTTTTTACATATAAAAAATATTAATTATATACGTTTTAGTTTTTTCTAAGAAAACATGTATTGTTTGAAATATGTTGATTAGGGGAAAGGGAAAAAAAATGAAGAAACCGTGAAAACTTGTCCAGGCCAGAAATGATGATGATTTAAACCAAAGTTTATGATTTAAAATTCATCCCTATCTTCACTTGTTTGTGATTAGGCATCTAACAGTATAAAAATTTCCTATCGCGATAATTGCCAAAACACAGTATTTATAACAGTATTAAATTGCAAACTAAATAATAAAGTGAAAAGTGACGTGACATGTGGCCAAGTATGGTGACCCATACTTGGATTTAGTGCTCTGCATTTAACCCATCCAAAGTGTACACACACAGCAGTGAACACACACACACCGTGAACACACACCCAGAGCAGTGGGCAGCCATTTTTGCTGCGGTGCCCGGGGAGCAGTTGGGGGTTCGGTGCCTTGCTCAAGGGCACCTCAGTCGTGGTATTGAAGGTGGAAGAGAGCGCTGTACATTCACTCCCTCCACCTACAATCCCTGCCGGTACGAGACTCGAACCCGCAACCTTTGGGTTACGAGTCCGACTGTCTAACCATTAGGCCACGACTTCCCCCTATCTTCTAGTTAGACTTAACTTCTAACTTCTAGACTTAACTATCTTCTAGTTAGACCTATCTTCTAAGTTAGACTTCTCCTAACATGCGGACATGCTGAAAAACAGTAACACATTGCACAAAGAATATGTACAAAGTAAACAAATCTTTCAAACAGATTAAAGTGCAAAAGAACAGAACTCTTAAAAAAACAATAAAGAGTAAAATTGATGGGATCTTTAGTATTGTTTGATAAACACCATAATGAATACAAAAATCTAAAAACTATTTTTTCAGAACAATGTACATTTTTATGCAGCATGCATAGAGTGTTGTAAATTTTGACTGGTTGATGGAAATATGCGACTGTACATCTATTTGTGATATAATAATAATAAAGGAAACTACTATATGTTAATCTTAAAGAAATATAATTTACATTTTTAGCCAACAAATATGATGACATGAAAATGTACTGCATAACAGGAATGACCCATGAGGTAACAGCTGGTGTTTTCCCACAAACGCTTCCATGCTTGTTTCTGTTGAGCTCTCAGGACTGGAAGAGCCAGTTGAATGCAGCGGTTGGAACAGAATGAACTCAGCATTCAAACTGAGGTCCAACTATTGTTCTGTTTCACTGCGTAGTGAGCTGTAGGCATGCCGCTTTAGAAGGTTGTCATCTTGCCTAATTTCTAAAAGATATTTTTTGAGAGATTAATTAGATAATGAAAAGTATTTGTGTATATTATTATTATTATTATTATTATTGTTGTTGTTCTCCTAACATGCGGACATGCTGAATATCATGACAGTGTTCAGCTTTCTGTTTTTTGACAGAAGGGAACAACACAGCCCAACAATGTTAATGCCAGATATCTTATATATATCTAATATAAATTAATTTTCTCTGCTTTGCCATAACTTGTCTGTTATATGTTCAGTATGTGCAAGAGCTCTCTGCTGGTCATAGCTGGGATTGCTATGCAGAGTTTTATGTAATCTCAATTTAAAGAAAGAAAAAAAAACACTAAACATTATGTGCACTTAAAATTTGGGCAGGACACACGTTCATGTGAACCTTGGCATTTGTTCAGTTTGCTTTGGGTGAGTCTTGTTCTGCAGACATAACAGGTCAGTTCAGGCATGTTTCCTCTTGTTGTTATTATTATTTTTTTTTTGATTACATCTCTTAACTGCTGCATTCAACGAAGTTTTAAGTAAAAATATTACAGTTAATAACAAGCTCAGTCAATCTTAACTGCATTTTATCCAAGAAACAAACTAGAATGCAGTACAATTAATTATTAATCTATTAATAATTATGATTGATTCATCTCAATAAATTGAGTTTGTGCACAGTGACTCCAAAAAGTGTTTTGGACACTTAAGCCAGACTTTAAATAAAGGAATGTCATTGCATTATGTAATAAAATATTAAACCATTATTTAAGCTCAATTCTCGGGTAAAACATTTCACAAAATGGTTCATTTTTTAATAAAACTGTAGATGTGTTGTTCAACAAAGACATTTGAACACTTTTTTGAAGGGAATTGACTTTATACATGCACCAAGTAGTTCTGCGAAAAGCCCTAGCAGAATTATATTCCATTTGGTTTGATATTTTGTTATACATTACAATGACATTTATAAGTATTTAATTGTGGCTTTATTAAGTGTCCTAATACTTTTTGGGGCTTTGTATTATAGTATTTACTGAGAGCGACTATATCAATTATCCACCTAAACTCACTAGCATGCAAATACGCTTTGTTGCCTTCGGCTCCAATTGACAAATGTCGATTCGACAAAGGTTAATTCAATTGCTGTTTGTTTTGGTTGGATTGTGTGCGTGTTTACAATGTTGAATCTCTGCAGATATCACAATACATGTATAATGAATAGACTGACGATATTTTCGATCTTCCTTTCTAGGTTACAATCATCCAGCATTAATGAAAGTGATGACCAATCCAAATAATGTGGTGAGTCCTGATCAGACTGTGTAATCATTGTTTGTGTGTATTTATAGATTGTAGAATGAAAATTAGATTTGCAGTGATCTATCAGACAGAGCAGCATGAGTGTGACAAGATGAGAGATTTTTTCAGTTTGATACTGATATGATTTTTTTTACATTTCAGTGGCTTACTTCAGTTTTGCCCTTACAGAATTAAATTCACTTCCTTTATAATTCACTTTTAGCAGATGGTCTACTGTTCTAAAGTTTGCGATCTGTAAGATTGCATTTATTTGATCAAAAAATATAGTAAAACAGTAATATTGTGAAAAGTTATGTTGATTTTAAATATCAGTTTTAATATATTTTAAATGTGATTTATTCCTTATGATGGCAAAGCTGAATTTCCAGCATCATTACTCCAGTCTTCAGTGGCACATGATCCTTCAGAAATTATTCTAATATGCTGATTTGCTGCTCAAGAAACATTTCACATTATTATCAATGTACAAAACAGTTTAATATGCTTACTATTTTTGTAGAAACCATGATACATTTTTTTTCAGGATTTATTTTTTAATGGACAGTTAAAAAAACAACAGTTCTGTGAAATAGAGTTATTTTGTAACATTATAAATGCATTTACAGTAACTTTTGATCAATTTAATACAACCTTACTAAAGTAAAAGTTTCTTTCAAAACGAAATCTTACTAAGTCCAAACTCTTCAATAGTAGTGTATACACACTTAATATTAGTAGTCTTTTTAAAATGGACCAAAAAGACCAAAAATATTGATTGCTCGTCCTTCGCTACACAGATTTTTATTGAATTCAAAACTTTCCAGAATGAGAATGTCCCGACCCCTTATACCACCTGTAACTGACAAGCTAAGTAGCAAGTAGCCAATCATGTTCATCTCTGTGACATTACTGAAGCCTGTTGGCTTTTATAAAGAAGGACATGCATGTTTGACCTAAACTTCCTGTTTCAAAGAAAATGGATAAATATAGGAAAGAAATACTTTTCTCGGGCGCTTAAAACATTTTTATGAAATAATGAAATTCTTAGGGTCACTGTTTCCTTTAGTGAATCCTTTTTGTGTGAATCTTTGTTTTCACAGAGTGCATTTGTCAACCGGCCGGCGCTTGGTATTCTGCCACCTGAGAACTTTCCAGACAAACTGATCGAGAGCGTGCTGTCGGTGAGTGTAGTTGAATTGCAAAAATCACAAGTAAAGCATCTCTTAAAAAATCAATCTGTGTTCATATTTCAAAACATCCAGGAAAGCTGATTACAGTATATGTCTGTGTGAGTTATTGCTGATTTTGCTGAAACGCTTCACAAGTACAGAGTAAGGACTACGTTTTGCACAAGGATTACAGATTGTCTGGATCTGCCCCAATAATGAGGCAACTACAACCTTTCACTTGAAGAACAGCTTGTGTTCAGCAGTTATAAAACAGCTCATTGTGATTCTCGTAATCTTGATAACATGCTTTGCAGATATCATAAATAAGTGCACTCTTTTTCATATTGGCCGGAAGTGGCTTGCTATTTATTGTAGTGTCGAGTGCTGTAAATGACACTTTCTTCAACATCAGATTGCCCCTAGCGGGATGACGCGAGTACAAACCATGGCCTGTGGTTCCTGCTCCAATGAGAATGCTTTCAAGACCATGTTTATCTGGTACAGAGTGAGTATACTTTCCTCAGTTTGCTCTTGCACAGACTTGATGTGTCATGACGACCCACACAAAGCACATCTGCTTTATGTACTCTAGCTGTGATATTGGTTGTATTCTGGCAGTAATAATACACATGAAGAAGCAGTCTTCTAAAACTGTTGCAGAAAAAACTCACTGTAGTAACTATTAAATATAAAAATACTAGTGAATATAATTATTTTTTTCCTAATATAAAAACAAAATACTTTATGATAATAACTATTCTGATATTTTCATTGGTGTTATTGCTTACATTTATATTAGAATTTTTCAAATTACTTTATATTATGGCTGTTATTGATACAATTAATCATAACAAAATATGTGAACCTGGACCACAAAACCAGTCATAAGGGAGATCATAAGAGCTGAATAAATAAGCTTTCCATTGGTCTATGATTTGTTAGGATAGGACAATATTTGGCTGAGATACAACTATTTGAAAATCTGGAATCTGAGGGTGCAAAAAAATCTAAACATTGAGAAAATTGCCTTTAAAGTTGTCAAAATGAATTCTTAGCCATGCATATTACTAATCAAAAATTAAGTTTTGATATATTTACAGTAGGAAATTTACAAAATGTCTTCATGGAACATGATCTTTACTTAATATCCTAATGATTTTTGGCATAAAAGAAAAATCGATAATTTTAACCCATACAATGTATTGTTGGCTATTGCTACAACTATAACAGTGTTACTTATGACTGGTTTTGTGGTCCAGGGTCATATATAATATACTTGCACATTGACTGAAATAGATTGTTGTGGACTATTGGAAAATAATACATTTAAAAAGGTCATATATATATATTAATTTGATTAATGGGCATATTGTTATTGACAGCCCTACTTTATACACATTAATAACTCTTAAATCACCTGATTTCTAATCATTGTTTTTACTGGTTTCTAGAATAAGGAGAGAGGATATGCCAACCCCTCTGAGCAGGAAGTCGGCACTTGCATGATCAACCAGGTTAGAAAAAAACACTACGCATACGACTACGCAACATCATTTTATTTTTACACACACTAATCTCTTTTTTTCCCTCTCTCTCAGAGTCCTGGATGCCCAGATTTGAGCATCTTGTCTTTCATGGGAGCTTTCCATGGGAGAACTTTGGGTAAGTGCTTGTAAATTGTATGTTGACTTATGAAAATAGAATTGAAAGATGTGTCTGATGCCGTTTTTGTAGAGTACGTTTTAAGCAGATTCTACAACCCCAATTCCATAGAAGTTGGGACGTTTTGTAAAAATGCTATAAAATCAAGAATCTGTGATTTGTTCATTCTCTTTAACTTTTATTTAATTGACAAAAGTACAAAGAAAAGATTTCCAAAGTTTTCACTGACCAACGTAAATGTATTTTGTAAATATGAGCAAATTTTGATTTTGATGGCTGCAACACACTCCAAAATAGTTGGGACAGAGGCACATTTAACACTGTCACATCAACTTTCCTTTTAATTACAATGTCTTATTGTTTGGGAATTAAGGATACTAATTGTTAAAGTATTGCAAGCAAATTTTTTGTCCAGTCTCTCTTGAAACAAGACTTCAGATGCTCAGCAGTCTGTGATCGTCGTTGTCTGATTCTCCTTTTCATGACTGCTCATACATTTTCAATAGGAGTCAGATCTGGACTGCAGGCACATTCACTCTGAGTCTACGAAACCATGCTGTTGTAGCACATGCAGAATAAGAGCTGACATTGTCTTGATCTAATAACCATGGACTTCCCATGAAAGACATCATCTTGATGGCAGTATATTTCTCTGTACAACTCCAATATATGCCTCCATGTCAATGGTACCTTCACACATATGCAAGTCACCCATGCCGTTTGCACTGATGCATTCATATACCATGACAGATGTTTTGCTTTTGCTTCTGTCGCTAATGAAAGTCTGGATGGTCCCTTTGGTCTTTGGGACTGAGAACTCAAAATCCATTTTTCCCAGAAACAAGTTGAAATGTGGACTCATCTGAGTACAGCACACATTTTCACTGTCTTTTTGACTATCTGAGAGGAGCTCTGGCCCAGAGAACCCAGCAGCATCGCTGCATAGAATTGATGTATAGCTTTCTCCTAGAGTAACAGAGTTTCAAGTTGCATTTCTTGATACAGCAGCAGACTGTGTTAAGTGACAGCAGTTTTCGGAAGTACTCCTGAGCCCATGTGGGTATATTTAACACCGCAGCATGACGGTTTCTTATGCAATGCCATCTGAGGGCTCAAAGGTCAAGCACATTCAACTGAGGTTTCCTGCCTTGCCCTACATGTACTGTGTTTTCTCTGGATTCCCTGAATCTTTTCACAATATTACGTGTGGTAGTTGGTGAAAGACCTAAATTCTTTGCAATTTTGCATTGTGAAATGTGATTTTAGATTATTTTTTTGAAACTTCTTTCATGAAATTTGGCATAAAGTGATGAGCCATGATCCAGCTTTGCTTGCAAAGACTGAGATGCTCCTTTTATACCCAAACATGATACCTTGACCTATTACCAATTCACCTGCTTACCGTGAACTGTTTCAAAACAGTTTAAAGTGGATATTCTATAACTTTTTCGCTTTTATTTTGCCTCTGTCCCAACTTTTTTGGAGTGTGATGCAGCCATCAAAATCAAAATTTGTTCATATTTATAAACTACATTTACTTTGGTCAGTGAAAACTTTGGAAATATTTTCTTTACTTTTGTCAATTAAATAAAAGTTAAAGAGAATGAACAAATCACAGATTCTTGATTTTATTGCATTTTTTACAAAATGTCCCAACTTCTCTGGAATTGGGGTTGTATTTATTCATTTGGCAGACACCATAGTAACTTGCATTGTCTTCACTTTTGTCAGTCCATGTGTTCCCTGTGAATCAAACCCACAGCCTTGGTATTTTTAGCACCATGCTATACCAGATTAGCTACAGTAACTAAAACTTAGTAAAATTAAAAAGTGCATTTTTACAAAACGTCCCAACTTCTCTGGAATTGGGCTTGTAATTCTCTAATTTCGAGGCATTTGACCTAGCCTGCTTATATTTGCCTTACATTTGTTTGCCTTTGCAGCTGTTTGTATCGTATGACTTCATTTGAAAAACAAAGAAGCCTGGCTCTTTTGTTTTGACTAGGACACACATCCCTTATGTGTGTGCTGTTGGATTGCAGGTTGCCTGGCTACAACACATTCCAAAGTCATTCACAAGCTGGATATACCGTCCTTCGACTGGCCCATCGCACCCTTCCCTAAACTGCAGTACCCTCTGGAGGAGTTTGTGAGGGAGAACGCCCAGGAAGAGGCCCGCTGCCTGGAGGAGGTCAGAGATGTCTCCTTGATATGTTCACAAAAAAACGTTCCTCCTCATACCAAGCAAAGAAATATTTCAGGTTCAGGACAGGTTAAACTCAATCAACAGCATTTTTGGTTGTATCTCCTTTTCTTAAAAAAAAAACAAAATCTGCTACAGTGAGGCACTTACAATAAAAGTGAATGATGCCAATCCATAAATGATAAAATGCTCACCTTTTCAATAGTATCACCACAAGATATAAAATAACTGTATAAATGATTATTTAAACAGCTTTTACTATAGGTACTGCAACATTTACCATTGTTTGGAAAAATGTTATGCCAGATTTTCCGAGATTTTAATAGGAATGTGCATGATCAAAAATTTTGCATGAGGGCAAAAAAAGAGAGAGAGAGAGACAAATAGAAGTTGTTGTTTTTTTGTGGTAATCAACATAATGCTACAAATGCAGTTGATTGAACTTAACTATTAAATCCCAGTAGTTTAATAGTTAACCACTGATGTCTTTTTGTATGTGTGTGTAGATAGATAGATAGATAGATAGATAGATTAAGTACTTGTAATTAGATTAAATTACATTTTAAAAACTCGTAATCAGACTACAGTTACTTTTTTATTGATTACAGCATTATATATTATTCACACGATGGCAATAAATGATTCTTAATTTATTGATTGTTCCTCTTTTTCATCTTTTAAATGTTCCTTTCTAAAATAGCCTATATTTAGTTTATATTCAGTAGAATTGCAGCATTATTTAAGAAAAGCAGACTAGTCGCTGTATTTCAGTGCACCTACTGCAAAGTGCTATCTACTTCTCCACATAAAAGTAAGATATTAATGTTTATGTGTGTCAGGTTGAGGATCTCATCGTGAAGTGGAGGCAGAAGGGCAAACCAGTGGCTGGCATTGTGATCGAGCCCATCCAGGCAGAGGGAGGGGACAACCACGCTTCACCTGACTTCTTCATCAAACTGAGAAATATTGCACGCAAGGTCAAAATGCTTTTTTTCAGGCTAACTGTTCTCTAACGCCTTGTTTACCGGATCTGTGCTTTGAAGTCGTTTGAGAGAGACACTCCAGTTATAAATGGCTAAAATGAAGCTCTTTGAACTGTCCAGTAAAAAAGGCACTCAAGACTCTGTAGGAAGTTCTTCTTATCTGCTCTAATTTGAATGAGATAAGGCAGGAGACAAAAGGGAATAATTTAATATGGCTGCATTATGCAGAGAAAAGAAGCTCCTTAAGTAATTGTGAGGAAGTCCACGCTCTCCCTGAATAGCTCGGGAAGTGTTCACTTCAAATAGAGCGTGGCGAAACGCAGCTGTCGTGTCCGGCGGGTGTTGTATGCAGTTTTATGCAGGCTGACAGGATGGCTTTTGTTGACAGATGTTTATCTGTGTCTGGTTCTTTCAGCATGGCTGTGCTTTCCACGTGGATGAGGTGCAGACAGGTGGAGGAACAACAGGCAAGTTCTGGGCCCATGAGCATTGGGGCCTGGACGACCCTGCTGATGTTGTCTCCTTCAGCAAGAAGCTGCTGACAGGAGGATACTACCACAGGGATGAACTGCAACCAGACAAAGTAAGAGCTGTCACTGCTTCTGCATACGTTACCTCATAAACAATCGGCAACAATAATCACTCCCAGTAATTGTCCCCAACTGCCTGCTTTATGCTTTTTGTTAATGAGTCATCGTTGATGAATAGCATTATAATGTGTTTTAGTACCAGATGATTGTTCTGTCAGTTTCACAATCATTGTTTGTCTAAATGATTGCGTGTCCTTGGATGAGGTTCATGGCTGTGTGGAATTGAGCAATCACGCCCCCTACTGTCGAAAACATGTTTCTTCCTGTAAAGTAACCTTCTTTGGTTATCTCAATTCTAAACAAAAAATAGCTTGGGCTACATTTAGTTAATTGACTAGAAAGGCTAAATTACAAATATAACAGCTTATTGTTTTAAAGAGCTGTGTTGGCAATAATATATGCACACAATGTGCCTTTTTGTTGCAACTTCCCAAATGTTGTAAAAATATAAAGTGATCTTTTGTATCAAATGTTGTAAAAGAGATCTGAGTGTGATTATTTTAATAATGAAATAATCACACTCAGACCCCTCCCCCTATTAGTAGTAGTAGTAGTATTCATTACTAAAATATAATAAATTTGTATTTCTATTTTAGAATTTACTGTTATAATTTTTTTGTTGGAATAATAAAAAATTATTTATTTATGAATAAATGTTCGTGTTTTTGTAACAATAATAATAATAATAATTATTATTATTATTATTATTATTAAGTTTTATGCAGGCTGACAGGATGGCTTTTGTTGACAGATGTTTATCTGTGTCTGGTTCTTTCAGCATGGCTGTGCTTTCCACGTGGATGAGGTGCAGACAGGTGGAGGAACAACAGGCAAGTTCTGGGCCCATGAGCATTGGGGCCTGGACGACCCTGCTGATGTTGTCTCCTTCAGCAAGAAGCTGCTGACAGGAGGATACTACCACAGGGATGAACTGCAACCAGACAAAGTAAGAGCTGTCACTGCTTCTGCATACGTTACCTCATAAACAATCGGCAACAATAATCACTCCCAGTAATTGTCCCCAACTGCCTGCTTTATGCTTTTTGTTAATGAGTCATCGTTGATGAATAGCATTATAATGTGTTTTAGTACCAGATGATTGTTCTGTCAGTTTCACAATCATTGTTTGTCTAAATGATTGCGTGTCCTTGGATGAGGTTCATGGCTGTGTGGAATTGAGCAATCACGCCCCCTACTGTCGAAAACATGTTTCTTCCTGTAAAGTAACCTTCTTTGGTTATCTCAATTCTAAACAAAAAATAGCTTGGGCTACATTTAGTTAATTGACTAGAAAGGCTAAATTACAAATATAACAGCTTATTGTTTTAAAGAGCTGTGTTGGCAATAATATATGCACACAATGTGCCTTTTTGTTGCAACTTCCCAAATGTTGTAAAAATATAAAGTGATCTTTTGTATCAAATGTTGTAAAAGAGATCTGAGTGTGATTATTTTAATAATGAAATAATCACACTCAGACCCCTCCCCCTATTAGTAGTAGTAGTAGTATTCATTACTAAAATATAATAAATTTGTATTTCTATTTTAGAATTTACTATTATAATTTTTTTGTTGGAATAATAAAAAATTATTTATTTATTAATAAATGTTCATGTTTTTGTAACAATAATAATAATAATAATAATAATTATTATTATTATTACAAAACAATAACAAAAATGTCATTATGTTTTGGTCTAAGGGATCTTTTTGTGATTATTTTAATAATGAAATTAGGATTATCATGAAAATGCTTATAAGATTTCTTTCTTGTATTGAACAATAAAAAAATGTAATTATGTTTTGGTCTAAGGGATCTTTTTGTGATTATTTTAATAATGAAATTAGGATTATCATGAAAATGCTTATAAGATTTCTTTCTTGTATTGACACATTACAACAAAAAAATTTGAGGTGGAACATTTTGCTTTGCTTTGCTTTGTTTTTTAAATAGCCAATAGCCTTTTTTTTAGGTATTTCCATTTAGAATACTTTACATTTACCAAAAAAAAACTTTGGTAACACTTTATTTTATGGACCAATTCTCACTATTAACTAGTTGCTTATTAGCATGCCTGTTATTAACATATTGGCTGTAACTACCTCACTAGCTACTAATAAGCAGCAAATCAGGAGTTTATTGAGACAAAAGTCATAGTTAATGGTTTGTTAATAGTGAGAATTGGACCTTAAAATAAAGTGTGACCATAACTTTTAATAGTGTATTTGCCTATAGATGACCTCAAAGCTAAAAGACATAAACTAAATGCCACAAAATGCAAATGTTGGTTGCATGACATCTTTAAAGAAGACGCTTTAGTTACACAACTAAAATGACCATTTAAACTGACGTGACTGTATGCACCTCAGCCCTACAGAATCTTCAACACGTGGATGGGAGACCCCTCAAAGAATCTGTTCTTATCAGAGGTGCTTAATGTGATCCGAAGAGAGAACCTTCTGGAGGAGGTGACGCGCTCAGGGAAGACTCTTCTACAGGGCCTTTACGCACTGCAGGTACGGCCATCTCCATTTCTATCCTCACATGACTGATTCCTCACAGGTGCCACAGCTCAACGCGAGATGCTTTAAAAGCGTTAATGGTTCTATTATGTGGACGTTCATTGTTCATCTGAGAGCCGGCCTCATAACTTCTGCTGGGAACCTGAGCCTGTAATCGATCTTGTCAGCGTAATGAGTATTTGTTTTGAGGCTGTGCTTGTGGATTGATGATACCTTTCACATTGTGAGCTGTACATTCGTTTATTGTCTCGCGTCTTCCCCTCATGTAGACCCAGTATCCTCATATCCTGAGCAGAGCCCGCGGCCAGGGTACATTCTGTGCCATAGATGCCTGCAATGATGCCACACGCGACAGTATCATGATTAAAGCCAGGAACAAGGGTAAGCCATGGACACTTTTGCCATCACACATGAGGTTGGCAAGACAATTAAAAGAAACCCTGGCAGGACTTTTTATGGGGGGGGGGGACTTTGTAACTGATATAACTTGCATATCAGTTACAAAGGTCATTGTGTCTTTTGCAGCAGCATGTTGCATAGTTATTATCTATATTTATAAATGTATAATTTTATTTAATAATAAATGTATTATTATTTATTAATATTCTGTTATTCTATTATATTAGTAATAATAATGTACATACATTGTACATACAATGTTATTGTTATTATTATAACAATTATTTTTAAGGATAATAATAATGTATATAATATATATCATTATATAATGTATGTATATGATGTATCATTTTATTATTATTATTTTTATTATTATATCAATGCGTGCATTATCATCTACTAATAATAAACAAAACAATTGTTAGTATTGTTATGAATATTAATATTATTGCAAACTGAACATTACTAATTAACTTACTAAATATAATTACTAATTAACTACACAGTACAGTATTACTCCTACTGTGATTATTGTGCTTACTGTTAACTATTATTAATATACTTGTATTATAATAATAACAATAATCATTTTAATTATTGTATAATTCTGATAATAATAATGATCTGATTAATAAAATGTATGATCATTAATCACAACAGTAATACTAGTATTAACTATCATTAGGATTATTATTGTTGTTTTGCATCATAATAATTATTAATACTAGACTTATAATAATAATAAACTTAAGTTACACATAAATAAGACCTGGTCTTCACCATAAGATGCAGTGGCTTTATGGGATGCTGTGTTCTCTCACCAGGTCTGTTTATGGGTTCCTGTGGAGAAAAGACCATCCGTTTCCGTCCCACTTTGGTCTTCAAGGAGTACCATGTCCATCAGCTCCTGAACATCCTGAACGACGTCCTGGCTGAGCATAAATAGAGTTCTGGCTGCCAGGTCGGCCTTGATTACGGAGCATATAGGGGTCCAAGCCCACTCAAGGGTTTATAGCAGCCTGTCACAATTAATTGGTCACTGTCTCTCTCTCTCTTTTCATTCACTCTCTTCCTGTCATTACTAATTAAGGATAGAAATCTGTTTTCTATCTCTTTTTATTTAGCCGACAGATTTCAGCCCCATCACCATATTTCTCGTCTTTTACTGACAGATTGAAGATCTGAAGGAGTTTGCAGGAAATAACCCACTCAAATTACACATTTAAATAAATCCCTCCTGATGACATTTCAACTTTGTGAACTGTAAGGTCCTACAAGCCGCAAGTCAGTTGAATAAAGCAATATAGTGACACACAGAGACAGGACAGGATTTCTAATCACAATATTTCATATATCTCTTCATGTATCAAATAAAGTCCTTAGCATTTGGAAGGTGACATGAAAAGATTAACGATCTAATTATGTATGATACCAAAACTACAGAAAATAAGCTATTGTCTGATTGATTATATCATTTATGGAGATCAAATCGAACTATTTTAGTATCTATAGATACTAATATCTGTATTTGAAATGTCTAAAGTGTGAAATTTTGCATGACGGAAGATTTAATTTACAGAGTACCTGAATATAACCGTCCTCTCTGAATTAAAAGCATGTGTGAAAGACAAATGGTGGAAGCAGCGTTGGCCTCACTGCATTCTGAGGCACTAGAGCGAGCCAATGGAAAGCTGGAAAAAGTGAAAGTGCAGAGAACTGTAGAGCCTCTATTCCCATTTTAATAAGACGTCTGTTGAGATGAAAACCTTCAAGCAATAAGCAATTTCCTTTATTGAGGTGGCTGCTTTACTGTCATTGCTCAGTCATAAAGAACCATTGCCATTACTGAGACACTTTTAAAGCACAACCTGGTGTGGTAATGTGAGGGCTGATATTTTCTACAATCTAACAGAATTAATATGGTGAACGAAAGGCCATAAATCTGTATTTTTCAAAGCCAAACATCCACCTAACAATAGTAATCTGTCAGGAAGCATGTTTGAAAAGCACAAGCTTGTTGAGGCCGCTCCTCTACTCAGGTGAACATGATCCCCTCGTGTTTCTCATTACAGGCAAGAAAAAAAAGGTATATTGTTCTGCTGGATAACAACTACAAGGTCATCTTCACTTAATGGTTATCACAGCCTGTAAACGTTTCTGATCTTTGGGGTGATTCTCCTCTTCCAGTTGCTCCGAGCCGACAGAGTAAACGTCCCTTCCGCTTGATTAAAACAAACCGTCTTTTCCTTTTTAAACACTTAAACCCCAGTATGTAGCTACTTACTGTAGTGAGATTATGCAATGCTCATTCTGTAAGTTTTGTCTGTGAACACTAAAATGTTTCCAGCCGCATCGGAATCAAGTTTCTTATTTAACTGACATTAACGCATCAAATATTAATATGTACGAAATCAAACCCTCTCTAACACGGTGTTATTCTTTCGTGATTTTGTGTCCCATATGTTAGTGTAATGTAGAAATGCAATTCATGTTGTTTTGGGTGTCTTTAAACGTTCCTTTTAATGTTGCGAGCAGGCAGCGTGCATAGCAGCAATCGGAGTTGTGAAAGCTCTGTCTGTACTCGGCAAAGTCAGTATTTAATTGAGAAATGTGTATTATTTACAGACACTAACAATTAGGTCTATATAAAAAATGCAGATGTTTACAGTTGTGTTGTACAAATACAAAGAAATTGATGTGATTTCTACATAAAATCTAAATGTTGTCTGAGGAAGCTATAAAATAAATGTTAAAATAAATCTGACATTTTGATTAATCTTTTATTGTTCTTGACTGTCTTTGAACCAAAATGACCAAGAAACACATGAGAAATGATCAAAATTATATATTTTCAATGTATAGACAAACACAGAATTTTTTTTTCCAGTGAATAAAAAAAATATGGAAATCTACATACTTTAGCAATTTAGATATGAGATAAGGCTTATTGTTAAGATTTTGCAGCCAGTTCTTAAAAGTACTCAAATCAATCAGCGATTCACAGATGGTTCGTGTAAGATCATTCCACATTATTAACCACAAACCCAATAATAGAGAATTTTAAACAAACTCCCCTCCTGAGCCCAAAGAAAGAAAGGGGGAAAACCAGATGCAGTATTTTTATATTTTTCTTGGAATTATGGCGTCATGTTACACAGCACTTAAAGGCAATTCAGCCCCGTTCCCATCCCCCACCCACCCCCAGAAAAGGAACAGAAACCCCTTTTATCATCACTATCACACAGTTCAGAGTTAAGAGAGGATCTCATGTTTCAACCACCGCTCCAGACCAGGTCTCATGCTTCGTGCCTGGTGCTAAATGAGTGATGGTCACGTCCACGGCCTGGATCTTCTCATGTTTGGGTGGAATAGAGCAGATCTTGTAGCTAACTTCATCACCTTCCATAGGCACATATTCACCATCGATGCTGTGGGAAGAATGGAGATCATCAGCAAAACATTACTTGCTGGATTTAGACAAAGGTGTTTAAAACAAGTGCATCACATGGAAAACACTGCTAATTATTGTATACAGATATTTTTGAAAGAGCAGATTGACAAGACATTTTGGTGACAAAATAAAAATGTATCCCACTTGTAAGTACTTTTTAATCTTTATTTTTTACTTGTTTCAATCTCTGAAATGATTTTCTTGATGTTGTAACCAAGGCCACGAGGGTGGAACAAAAAATGTAAAAAAATAAATCATAATAATTATATAAAATATTTTTAGTATTTAATAATTATATAAAAATAATTTATTTTATTAATATTAACTAATTATGTTTTTTAATAATATAATTAAAGCATGTAAAGCAGCAGTGTTTTTTCC